AAAAAATAATTAAATAAAATGTAAATATTAATTAAGGAATAGAAATGTTGGCTTGGTAACTAACTGAAACAAGTTTAAGAACTAAAATTACTAAAACCATTAACTGAAAAAAAATCTATATTAAAACCCCCAAAATAAAAATAACCCTAATAAAAATGCACAAAATGCACATACTAGAACTTAAACTAAAATTGAAAATATTAAAATAAAAGCAAATATAAATTTGAATAAATACTATAATACAGAAATAATTCTAAAACAACTCGTGCTTTATGTATTCTGCTATTTTTATGTAGAGAACAGATGCAAATAACGACTGGTGTTTGAGACCCAATGTTTTGTCACTGACCTAAAAACCTGTAGCAACACCTTCTGACAAAATATTTGACTGTTTGTAAAGGGAACATGATATATATATATATATATGCTTGTGAAAGGGTTTCTCTGTTTCCATGCACATCCAAGTCTGACAGTAGGTGTGGAACGAATGAGTAAAATGTTCAGCAGCTGCAGGAGACTCACACTTATAGACAAACACAAATACACACATCCACTGGAAAATTGCAGGGTAAAATGTTTTAAGCTTTAAGTATCAGCAGGTGCTATTAGAGCTGGAGGGTGATTTGGAGTGCATGTTGTGATGGATGAATCACATGCATTCATAATATGTGATCATTACTTAATGTAAACGGTCCTTAAATCCTTAAATGTTGAACTGTGGGTGGTAGACGTTAATGATTTTTGTCAACATCAAACGTTTGTTAATTGTTCTCAAAAAATGAACAGTTTTGTGCTCGTCAAATGTCACAGGTCAATCATTATTTATTTACCTTTGAATATTAAATTAAATAAAATCTAAAAGCTATTTTATTTTTAATTAGATTTTATAATCAATATTATAATTGTATTTCAACTGTCAGTTTTTGTGAATATGCATGTATATGTATGGTAAGACAAAAAAAAAACAAAAAACAACAACTTTGTAATTTCTGTCCAAAACAGGACATCCCATATGTGTGACCTTGAATGAAGGATCAAAGCAAAACTATTTTCTTTCTCTTTTCCCCCATTAACATTATTAATGTTTTCTGTGACATGACATACATATGCATATTTTTAAGCAGCATTCAAATTTGGCAAATCAAATTTCAGTTTCATGGACTTGGTATTTCAATCAGCGGGTGTGATTGTCAGCTTCACCTGCGGCTGATCTCATTCCACACGCAGGAACATAATCCACAAAGGTGACATGCAGAAGAATTTTAATTACGCCTGGAGGAAGCAGATCATCACCTTCATCCACCTGAAGCAGCATGTTGCAATATATATACATTAACCATGCGAATAATAGCAATAAAGTGATTTCAGGCTTTGGTTTAGAGAACATTCAGCAATAATTTATTTCAGGATCTCAAGAACCACCACATTTCTCATCTGGAAAATTCAGTATCAGTTGCCAACAACACGTTTTTTGAAAAATGTTACTATACAAATTCTTAATAGAAAAAAGAATAAATTAACTGTGGAATTTGCTTATATTTAACCCGCCCAACAATTCCACTTTATTTTTTTCTACAACACCGTTTTATTTTGTCCGGTTATGTCTGAAAATGAACTCATGAAACATGCTCTATTGTCAAGACGAAGTGAGAAGACAGTTTAGTAACTAATGTCCTTCATTTTGCACGACTGGTATTAAAACTATTGACAACAGTTAGGAAAAGTCTACAGCTAGGAAACCAAAGCAGTAACTGGCCTTCCTGTAGCACCTGAACGTGTCGTTGCTATTTCCCAGCTTAAAGACCCAAAAATAAAACGAATACTGATTTATAAAAATCATTAAATTAATGGTTTTACATTTTCTTTTAAAAGAACCCAGTTTCCACAGTCCTGCCTATAAATGTTGATAAATGTTAGTTGTTTTTTTTAATATAAAAAGATTTTTGTTTTTGATATAGTGTACAGGTAAGACGAGAGGAGTGAGCTCACATTGGCCTAAGAGGACATGAGGTCTGAACGACCTCTAAATGAAGGGCTGTTTTTACACCGGGTTTGAATTTTAACATCAAGATGCATAACAGTGTGCTGAGCATGCACAAAAATAATGAACAATCAATTTTAGGGCAGATAAAAACGTCTGGTTTACTTATAGGCCCTTCATGGAACATAAATCGGATGACTTTTAGATTTAGTGTCTGGTGACTTGGACCCTTTCAAATACACATTTGTAATGACTGCTTATGTTAACGCACAAACTACTGACTTTTTGAAGATCTGTTGAGTTGTAACGGCACAGGGTGTGCTTTTAGCTACCGGTTTCTTAAGGTACTTTGCATGTACGATGTTTCGTATCTTGCAGAATATGTGACAAATGCGGTCTTTAGCATTATGGCTTGATGTTTCCTCGGTCAGGCGATCGAGGTGAGGGGCACACGTGGTTTCGGATCTTGTTGACTGCGTGATAAAAGCATTAAACACCCTGTATTGTCTGAGCTTATGGTTTCTCACCGGCTGCTTTTAAAATGAAGCACCTGCTTTAATCACGTCACATTCTGGAATGCTGTTCTCCTGAAAGCCTCAGGGAAGAGGTAATGTCATTTTCGTTAAAATATTGTGTCGGTGTGCCACGTTGCGTTGTGCTCCTCTGACTTTTGACGGTTTTATAAATACGACGTAATGTCATAGTGGTGTTACAATTAAGTAAATTCCTGAATTAAAAACGTACATAAAAACAGAAAACGGATAAGGCCAGGGGTGTTTGAAGAAGGTTTTTTGTGTGTCTCTTTACTTCACTGATGTCACAACACTATACGCGGGGGTTTGTGACTTTTCATGCAGTGTGGGCATACAGCAGGGCATTGTGGGATGTGCAGTTCAAGCTCAGAGCACCATGGTGGCGAGTTGCCGGTTGCAGCCTGAGTTGCAGTACTTCACAGATCAGTCACTCAAAGCCGAGGGTCATGCTAATGCCTCTAAGCTAACGTTTCAGATTTGTTTTACAGCTATGGCTTCTAAATTAGCTAATGTTTTGTAAAAATGGCTGAACTTCCTAGACCAGAATCGATGAACTTGAGAATGACAAATCAACATTACGCACGAAGACTACAATGTTTTGAATTTTCTCGAAATGACGTACTTGTGACGTCATAATCATGAGCGATATATTGGGGCTCATCTTCCAATCCAGAATGACCGAAGAAAGGCTTCTGCCTTTTTTAAATGCTCTATTGTTATTCACAAAATATCAAAGTTCCCAGACAGTGGGAGGGGCTTATGATGCACTCCGGTACAATGAGAAGGGGCGCTGTAGTATGAAGGTGGGGCTTGTGGTCACATACTGTTTTTTTGTTTTTTAACAGAACTAAGAACATAAAGTTCGACAAAGGTGGTTGACGCCAAAGCAATCCATTGGAATGTTTTTTTTGTGCATGTCATGTGCATGAGAGAGAACGGTGCCGGCTCTCTGACATCAGTGCAGAGGGACACACACGACAGCAGGGGGCGAACGACTATTTTAGCATGTGTGTGCATGAGTGGGGTTGACTTATAGTACAACGCACATAAGACGTCTCTCTTATGCACATCAATCCAGCGATGGATTAAACACGGAGGGTTTGTGCATACGGAGGAACCGGCTGCCAGCTAACTGGGTCAAAGTTCAAAAATCAGAGTGGGAGGGTCAGACAAGGTCAAGCTCAGTTCATTTAGACTCTTGTATTCCCATAGTTCATAAGCACTGTACCGCCGGATATACAGAGAGGAAGGAGAGGGCGAGGTGGTACTGGCTCCAGCCATAGGTGTTTTCAGATGAGTTGAGGTCCAGACTGTGGTCAGGCCTGCCTTCTGAACACTCTTTTAAAGAGAGAGGGATGAGGGATGAGGGTTTAGACGAGCGTTCCCGGCTTTGCCTTCTCGTGCCCGTACCACTGTACGTCCACTATCTCAGAGCACAGGGGACTGCTCAGGAAACAACTATCTGTGAATGGCGATCTGCAGATGAGAAGTAGAGGAAAGTGTAAGACATCTTGACATTTTTTAATAGGTATATTTAACAGGCTGTACCATTTATACTCTGGTTGCTAGATTTATATTTGTGCAACTATCAGAAGGCCCATATGGAATTGAATGTCATCTGAATAAAGAGGTTAATTTGAACATGCTTTAAGCTATCCTTATATATTTTACCATGTAGAATGTGCCATCTACCATGTATGTGTAGAAAGTGCAAAAAACTTTGTCTGGACCTGGATAACAGTGGGAACACCTGCATCTGTTTTTTGCACATGGAACCAATGAAGAAAAATTAAAAACCCAAATAAGAGAAAAATACTTGTTATTATAAGCAAAAGAAAAAAAAAAGTATTTTTTGTACAACATTACATTTACTGTATTAAATAGATCTTACATATTACATTTAATACATTACATTTCCTTTTTAACATATTTAATAGATTCATTTTTTAAATATATTTATAAAATAAAATATTTAATATATAACATTAAATGCTTTTCTTTCCTCTCTCTCTCTCTCTCTCTCTCTCTATATATATATATATATATATATTAAAAAATAAAAATGTATATATTTTTAAAAAATAAAAAAAATATAAATATAAATATAAAGAAACTGTTACACCACATAATATAAAATTTCTAATTTTGTGATACAAAAGTTTGGTCATACTGCCCACAATGAAGTTTTGTTTCAGTACACCCTAGTAAATTATAATAACAAAATAACACTTAAATAAAATTTGTATTCTGAAATACAAATTCACTTCCAACACAAGCAAATGACACCGTCAGAGAGGTGAAGGAGTGAAAGAGTGAGATACAGAACATGCAGAGAGATAGAGATTGAGAGAGTGTACCTCTCTACTGGTCAGTGCTTTGGTGAGAGGGAGAACGGTCTTCAGTAGGAGAACTTTCAGTCGTATCACTGCCCCGAGAAAACACACATACACATTCAGGCAGAGGTGGGTTAGTGAGACAGAGAGAGAGAGAGAGAGAGAGAGAGAGAGAGAGATGTTAGTGTTTGTGGGTAGCCGTGATCAGTTAATGTAGAGTGAGTCGTGTAATTTTGACACTGGGGTAGTTCTGTTACACTATTAAAGTGAACAACACAGACAAAGCATTGGTACAGTTAGGTGGACGTCTAAACCAAGAGAATGTGCTCCTTAACCCAGACTTTGACCAACATCCTCAAATATGTCTGAATTTATACAGTTCTTTAAAGTAAATACCCACTGACAAACAAAGCTGTACAATCTACAGGAAAACCAAGCCAATTGTGCAATCTTGGAAGAAACTAAGAACAGCACAATGAAAATATTAAGTATATATGTAAACACCCTTGGTCAGTTTAGTGCAAGGAAAACCATATAAGCCTTGCCTAAAAGCATACTCAGGTCTAGAGTGATGCAAATCACTGACGAATATTGCAAGTGATTTTTTTCACACAAAACTATTCACATTAACTGCAATGCAAAAAAAACTAACAAAAAAACTAACAGCTAATTTAAAGTGATTTGTCCTTCGTATTAGTCTGAAAGAAGTGTCACTTACTTATTTAGTATTATTACATGATTCTGATTGGTTAGTCCATCTAAGAAACTACAGAGATGCAGTACTTTATCTAACGAGCCACTGGGATACTAGATACTGTTGTTACTTAGATTAAATAACTACTAATCAGACATAAACTACAACCTACAGTTTCTTCTAGACCATCTACATTTCAAGAAAATAATATTGGACTATGAGGCTTTTTCATATGTGTGTGTGTGTGTGTGTGTGTGTGTATATATATAAATATATATATATATAGTTTCTTACCCGCTCTGCCAGTTGAGTATGTGTTGTGGGCTGCAAGGGGGCGTAGCTGCAGGGTCACTGCAGGGAGTTCCACTCCTCTGACTGTGTGGAGATGCAGCTGAAACACACACAGACTCCACTGTAAGACACTAATGCATACAGCTGAACTACAGTCACATATGCTTATACACATGGTGAACGTGTCAGAGATAAAGCTGACTGCTTGCTGCCAACACCCTCTTGAGCTTCTGGAAAAGGTTTGGAGTGTTTCTACCACCCAGAGAAAAGTGATAATCCCCATGACACACACCTCACAGCAATGTACTGAAGTTGACACATAAAATAGGTCTCGTTTTACCACTCTTTCTCGCTCTCTCCGTCACACACACTAAATCAATGCAGCAGCATAAATATGTACACAATGAAGTGAAATGTACAGACCTTACCTAAATGTGAATGAAAATTAGGTTGTGAGGGTGAGAAACAGTTTGCGCCATATATATACAGTATATATATATATATATATATATATATATTAATTAAAATATCTAACATATTATATATATATATATATATACATATATATATTACCCACACAAAAAAAAGCCACAATCAGGAACCATGCATCTAATTTATGATGTTTACTGTAGGAGGTCTAGCAGGTATTCATATATCTTTTTTTGCATAGTTTATATTTGACCCGCTCACCTGGTGACCCCTTCACTAGTGTCCCTATTCGTCCTCCACGGCCGTCTGAAGCATTGGAGCTGGTGTGCGTGACACGGCTGTGCTCCTTCAGCGATCCAGACGAGCGCTGGTACCAGCACCGCAGCCCCTCTGACACCGCTGCCCGTCCCCCTCCTCCTCCCTCCCTGCCTAGAGATGGAGTCCTCACAATCTGTGAGCGTGACGGCGTCAACCTCCCGCTGCCACCACCCACTTCCCCGTCCTCCCCGGAGCCCCACCCCTCCTTATAAAGCCCCCCAGCTGTGTATGAGTTGGAGTTGGGGCTACTGCCCTCTGTGTACAGTGGGTACTCTTTGATGCGATACTGTGAGGAGGGTTGGCTCTGGCTGTGGAGGTACACGCCCTGATGGCTTCCGCACACCCCTCCGTGGGTGCTCCCGTTGCGGGCCACTAGGTTGGGCATACTGCCAGAACTGGATGCACCCAGGTGTCCGGCAGACTTGTGACGCTGCTGCTGCCGTTGTCGGGCTTTGGAGGGCGAGTCCTCGGCCAGCGTACAATAGTTAGGATTGGAGGTGGATGAGGGGTAGTAATGTTCTGAACTGGATTGGCTGGTGCAAGATGAGCAGTCGTCGGGGACAACAGAGCCATTGCTTCCTGTCCTCCGTGGTCCTGACAGAAACAGGTCAGGGCTAAGTCCCGTCTCTGTGTCCGCCTCCAAGGATAGCAGCTTCCCCTGAGACTCCAAACTGGAACTCCGGCCACGGAATGGCTGAGTTAGACTGAGAAAGAAAACAATTATAATTTTAGTGGATTATTTATTTTTTAAATATTTATATTTATAAAAAAAGAATACTTTTATTCAGCAAGGATGCATTAAAATGATCGAAATACAACAAAAGAAAATTTTTATGATACAAAAGATTTCTATTTTAAATAAATGCAGCAAAATTTTTATAGTAATAAGATATGTTTTTATAATAATTAGAACAATTATTAATAATCGAGCACCAGTAATATCTAATAATATTTGAGCAGCAAATCAGCATACAATGATTTCTGAAGGTTCATGTAACAATGAAGACTGGAGTGATGATGCTGACAATTCAGCTTTGCCATCACAGGAATAAATCACATTTTAAAATATATTAAAATAGAAAGCAGTTCTTTTAAATTGTAATAATACTTCGCAATATCTCTATTTTTGTTCAAATAAATGCAGCCTTGGTGAGAATAAGTGACTTCTTTCAAAAACATTTAAAAAACATAAATAAAAAAACGACAGGTAGTGTATTTTGAAGAAAGATTACAAACACAAACATTATTTTTCTTTGGAATAAATGACGAGTATTGTGACAGTAAATAGGGTTGATTTTGAATTTGCATGTTGATTTTATGTTTGGTTTTAATTTTATATGAAATGCAATTATATATTTATTACATCATATAAAATATGAATGAATTAAAACATGAACCATTCATATAAAATAATAATTAATTTATATAGCCTAAGAATGTAACTATGTAAATATTATGTTAAATAAAACCCATAGGTGATGTTCTCATGTTGACAGCACCTGGCCGAGTGGACGTAGCTCCGTGTTCTCAGGTCAGGGGTAGAGGGCATGCTGGACTGGCTGTTCCAGTGAGGGAGGGAGCGCACAGGGCTGTTCTGGAGAGAGTTGCTCCCTCCCACCTCACAGCTGCCAGTGCTGGGGAACCGCCTGTGACTACTGCAGAAAGAGAAAAGACTAAACATAATTTATTCATTTAAATGTGCACCACACTAGTCATATACCAACACAAATTTTCTGACTGGTCCGTACCTAGAGTGTGAGGAACGTTTCTTCACCCGTTCGTAGGGTTCGTCTAATGAGCTTTCGCTCCACATGCGCGGTTTGATCGGGGACTTGTCATAGTCACTGCGTTGGTAGTGCAGGTGTCTCAGTCCGTCCAGGGACTGTGGGGGAGGCGGCCGACTGTGGGACCGGGGTCGGGGAGGGAGACCTTTGTGTGGGGAGGCAGCCGGAGAGAACGTGGGGGTTCCTGTCACCTGGGGGTCATCTGGAGAACAGAGTGAGAGGAAATGAGATAAATATATCATTTAATGTTAAGATGGTGCACGTGTATGTTCCTTTTACTTTTGAGGACAAAATTGCTAAAAGAAAACATTTAATTAATTAAATTCATGAAAATTAAATCAGATAACTTCTTTTTGGGAAAATGTTCATACAATTAGTTGATGTGTATTATCTGATTTGATGAGCCACATTCAAAGTTCTTGTAAAAATATCAATTGAATTCTATACTAAATATTAATCAGCAGAAATAATGAATATTAATGAGGCAAATGCCTGTATTGTATATGTAAACTATATTCATTGGCAAAATAATTGTTGATTGCATCTTGATGATATCCACCCTCCCATTTTACCAAAAACACCTCTTGAAGGAAATGTTAGAAATTAAAAAAATTAAAATAACTAAAATTAAATCAAAGAAATCAAAAGCAAAGAAAAAGAAATGCCTTGATGTGTATTATTTGATTAGATAGCCATAAACAAAGTTATTGTAAAAAACATATCAAATTCTATACTTAATATTAATTGGCCAAATGAATGAATATTAATGAGACCTATGTCTGTTTTGTATCTGTAAACTTATTATTATTATTTGGCAAAAGAATAGGTTATTGAGTCTTTTATGATATTCAGCTTACCACTATACCAAAAAACACCTCTGAACCATGGTAAAACCAAAACCAGCAACACCCACTTTTCACAATCCAATTAATTACAGATGGATATAATCAAACACTGACCTAAATTTTTATTATTAAATATTCTGCTTCAATTTGAAAACAAAATACAGAAGTAAAATTTATATTTATGTATAAAAAGTGTACAAAACTCACCATCATCCAGCACCAGGGCGTCAGACAGTGAACTGTCCTCTGAGCCAATATTCGCTTCTGCCGAACAAAAACAAAGACAACTTAAAAGCAAAAACTCACACACCAACATGTCAAACAAATCTTTGTAACCTGGGCGTGAACACGAGTGCGTTAAATGAATTTTCACAGCAGAGGTCACACACAGACACATGCGTTCACAGTTTTATAGGTCTATGGGAGGTGCGATTACTCTTGCTCTCAGCATGAAAGACTTTACAGAGGAAACACTTAATGAACTCACAGGAGCGCTGCAAAAACGTCTCAACAAACACAACAAACAGAATTCCTCACCCTCTATGATTAGAGAGGCACGCTGTGTGGGTTTCTTCCCAGAGCGAACGCGGTGCTCGTTGATGCCGTTCTCGATGTCTTGCAGCTTCTTCAGAGCATTCAGATATGACGTCTTCCTCTGTTTCTTCAGCTTTTTGCTGCTGATGTGAGGATCAGATGCTAACCGCCGCGCTGCCTCTGTTATCTGAGACTGGATGGCAAACTCCCTTTCCAAACGCTCCAATTCCTCTTCCTAAAAAAAGATGTAAACACACAAAATGAGAAAACTAAGCAAAAAAACAAAAAACAATCCTTCAAATTGTCCTTTGTGAAATTAGCAAAACACACTCCATCAGAATAACAAGACAACTACAGGCGCCAAGCTGTCTAGTTCTCACACACACATTGAGACAGCTAAGATATTGTGGCCTCTTATCAATGCCTTCGATTAATCACCCAAAATCAACAATCATCAGTCATGTAAAAAAACACATACAAAGGCAAAGATGACATTGTGACCTCTTACATAAATCAGCTTTCTTCATTCACACAGCTAAGCTCTTTTTTTGGATTTTGTAATCCAGCTCCTTTGGCTGACACTCAACACATACACTGCACTATCGCCACTTCCTCTGATCATGCCAGACTGGAGCTATTTATAGAACCCTGCACACATACATGAATGTGTGATTGTGGCGTAAAGGGCAGTGTATGATTGAGACAACTGTGCAGCATTCGCTGTGGTCAGGGGTTCAGAGGTTGTACGGTACCAACTTTAAAATCACACTATAAACAGTCACTGACCTCTCCTCTGGGCAGGATCTTATGCTCGTCGAGTTTGAAGGCGGTGCCGATTTTGCGTCTGACGTTGGGCGGCTCCTCCCCGGGATCGAGAGGGTACTCTTTCGGAAGTTTTCCTGTCAGCTCCTGAAACACAGCACACTATGTTACACTCTTAATCCAGCTGTTGTTGTGTGTGTATGAGTGTGTGAGACTAAGATTCTAGTTCTGATCAACACCTTAATGAGCAGCAAATCCAGGCTTGACTATTTGCAACACAATTTTTAGGCATCCTAAAATGCTTTTTAAGATTATGTGATGTAATAAAACTATGTAATAAAAATGACTTTATGCATAATGCTTTTAATTATAAATATGCTTTTCTTTGCTTTATAATTCCAGCTGCTCATTCAAAAAGATGAGGAAGATCAAATATGCACTCTTACAACCATCTACAACACATTATAATAAAGAACCCATATCGCAATTATTGTTTTTGTCCCTAAATTTAAGGCCTCTTAAGTGATTTTTCTTTAGGAGATTCTGTTATAACATTAAAGATTTTTAAGATTGACTGTATATTTGAACAAAATGCATAAAAACATTAAAATGTTTCAAAATAGCTTCCTATGTAGACTGCAGACAGCAAGTAAGCTCAGGTTTTCGAACAGAGCCGTTATGCTGAAGTGAGAAGTTGTTTCGATCCTTACCGCTTCTCTGATGCAGATGCTCTTGAGTTCCTCTATTCTCTGTCTCAGCGTCTCCTCCAGAGCTTCCTGTCTGGCCCTCAGAGCCGCCAACATGTCCTTCTTAGCGGTCTGGGAGCTGTCCGACTCTTGAGAGCCTACACACAAACACACACACACACACACACACACACAGTTAGATCAAATCTAGGGTTGACAAGTCACATTTTACCAAATGTGTGAGTGTAACCTAAAGGTCAAAGATCAGAAATGTTTAAAGGTCATATCAGCACCAGCAGCCCCAGACTTCAGCTTAAACAATCATTCTCACTTAGCAAGAGGGTGTGTACTTCACCTATTTAAATGCTATGAAAGGGGCAAAGTGTGTGTGATTCCGGACAAAACTGAACAAAGGGCCCCAATGGGGCAACATTGTTTATTAGATACTCCATGTGGATCAGAGCATGAGGCAAAGTTGATTGTGTCCGAGATGTTTACGAGTAAGTCAGCTAAATTTTTTGGCAAGTTTGGGAAGGATTACATAACAACAGTGATACCTTAACATTACAACACAATGCTAAAGACATTAAACCAGTGTTTGTTTACCTGTGGTAGAAATTAGTCGAGGCTGTGAATGTGTGTTTTCTCACACTGAAACTATGTAGCATCATGGACAGCTTCCTGCATCTCTGCCGAGGAATGTGATTTGTCTGGTGTGTTTGGAAGGGGATAATGAGGGTGTGTGGGCAGGCAGCTGTCTGGGAATCAGTGAAGGGTCAGCAGTAATAGAGAGAGAATATGACCGGGGTCACTGGCTGTGTCGCTAGTGTCCAGTCAAGCCTGCTATGTGTGTGTGTCTGTGTGTCTTTGTTCTATGGCTACAGAAGAAGCACTGAAACCCTAAATGTGTCCTGTCACTGTAAATCAATATGGCATGGCATTTGGCAATCTTATATATTATGACTTACACTACCATTCAAAAGTTTGAGATCAGTAATATATATATTTGAAAATAAATTCATACATCTATTCAGTAAGAATGCATTACATTGGTCAAAAGTGGAAGTAAAGACATTTGTAACGTTACAAAAGATTTCTATTTAAAATAAATGTTCTTTTGAATTTACAAAAAATATTAAGCAGTACAACTGTTTTCAAGATTGATGATTAGAATACAAGTTTCTTGAGCACCAAATTAGCATATTAGAATGATTTCTGAAGACTGGAGTAATGATGCTGAAAATTCAGCTTTGCATCACAGGAATAAGTTACATTTTACAATGGAAAACAGTTATTTTTGTTATTTTAATTGTAGTAATATTTCACAATATTACTGTTGTTACTGTATTTTTGATCAAATAAATGCAGCCTTGGTAAAACTTCTTTAAAAAACATAGAAAAAAAATCTTAGCGTCCCCAAACTTTTGAATGGTATTGTATGTTGGACTAAAACATATTTAGTGATATTTAAAACATTTTTATCTTGTACACACTAAGATCAGGGACATATATAAGAAAAAGTAAACAAGTAATTATTCCAGAATCATTCTGAACATATGAGTGAACCAGAGTGGGAATTCTTGTCTCTCAGTTCCTGTGTGTATGTGTGACAGGAGAATTTAGCTGCAAAAGGCTTTTCCACTCTGCCAAGTTTGGATTTGGTAAGTTGCCAAATAAATCCATCATTTTTGCTTCCCAGTGGAAAGCGTTCAGCATGGGGATGTGAAGTGAAAGACGTTAAGAGAAAATTAGTAATGGACACACACTTGGGCTGGGTGGGGTTCATGGGAACTCTAGAGGGACAGAACTGTGGTGAACCTATGAAGCAAAGAAAGGCATCACACTGCACGACACAAAAACACAGAATAATTTTGTCACTGGAACAGAGCGACACTGTTTTGGAGAGTGTCTCTGTGAAATCTCTCTATCCTTTCAGACACTACATATAAAGAGACAGGAAATTTCTGCAGCATCTGAGTGCTTTACAGAGCAATGACACACACATGCACATTTAACAGTACTGTATGTATAACAATGCTTTAAACTAGGGATGCAAAGATACCAATTTTTCAGAACCGATCCGATCCCAAAAATTCTGAGTATCGACCAATTCCGATCCGATCTGAGCGCAGTTTTTTTTCTAAATCAATGTAGAATTTCTATACTTCTGTGGGTTGACCTGATCATCACTATTGTGTGTGTTATCATGATCTATGACAAAAAAATACTACTATAAACTAGGTTAGTGGATAATTCAGCAGCAAAAGTTATTCTAGAAAAATCATGTGTGCACAATAATTTTATAAAAACATGAAACTAAACTAAACATTTAGTGAAACAACATTATTTAGTGGGAAACAGATAAAAGTTAGTAAGTGTAGAACTAAATCTGCTAAAATCTTACACATTGCTCTTTGTAATGTTGGAAAATACATTCATGAAAAACAAGTAGCCTAAATATATATAAATATAAATATATATATATATATATATTAGTGCTGTGTCCGTCCGTGCTCTCTCTCCACTGTGGATAAACGCGCTTGCTTTCTGAAGACACCGGTAAGCTTGCAGTTTAGCGATCTCCACTTCAATATTCTATTCTCAGAAAAGTGTAATTCATCAAGTGTTTATTTACACGAGAGAGAGAGAGAGAGAGAGAGAGAGAGAGGCTGTGTATGAATGAATTACCACCGTTTTGCCGTGTTTCTCTATTAACAGTGAAGCTGTGGCTTTAATTCCTTTAGAAACTATGATGTTACTAGCTCCTTGTTGAGAAAGATAACGTAGCTCTTGAGCGATTAAGCTATTTTATTGATAAAATTGCGGGGCAGAGCTAAAAAGTTTGTTACTGAATGTCTGTGCGCGCGCGCAACGTGATCTGTGTGAGTGCCAGTGCAGTCCTGTATCGTGATATGTATCGTATCCTCTGTATCGTGACTTTGCTGGTGATACACAGCCCTAATATATATATATACATACTATAAAATTAAAAGACATTTATTTTAAATGCATAGCACAGTAATGAAGGCAGCAACATATGATAGATAGAGGGGTCCTATCTATCATATGTTGCTGCCTCCATTACTGTGCTATACATTAGATTATTAATAGCCTTATAGGACAGACCAAGAAATGCTATAAATAATCCTTCATTGCACAAAAGTATTATATAATACGAAAAGCTCCAATACAGAGCGGCACAAAGCGCTTATGCGCATCCCATGTGCAGAATGATGCGCTTGAAGCAACACGGAGTCACAGCGTGCAGTGACTCCGTGTTGGAAAGGAAAGAGATATTGATGCGTAGTTTATTAAATCTGTGCGATAGTATATTGAGCCTTTTCTACAGTTTTAAATCTCAGTTATTGTGTGCTCTTGAAGAGTTTCATCGTCATGACTGTAGTAACCAAACACGACACGCAGTTTGAATGCTGAATGGAGGATGACAGACAACTGCAGCGAAGAGAAGAGTTTACGTGACCTTACGTCTTAAATATTAATCTATACTTCACAATAAACTATGGAACGGCTTCAGAACACTTGAAATATAGTGCACGAAAACGTTATGGTGCTTTATAATGTTTTTGTGCCTTTCGTGGTGCTTAACAATAACACAGAATAGTAGTGGTCGACCCATATATCGCCAAGGCCGATATATCGGCCGATATCTGCCATTTTTCAAATAACGGCATCGGCCGATAAGTTTTTCTGTTTGGCCGATGTGTTTGAGTCAGGACTTTTATTTTGACGGCGCAGGGAACTGCTGCGGCAGCGCCTGAGCACACAGTGCTTACATTCTTCCTCTTGTTCGCTGTTCGCTGTTCTGTCTAATACGAATAGAAGTCTGTCTAATAATCAGATAGAACTGTTAAACAAAGGAATTAAAATGTATACAAAAAAGTTTTATAACGATTGCTTTAATATTATTAAAGGCAAACATTATAATACTTTCTCATTTGCCGTCAGTATTCAACAAATACGCATTTATATAATTTAAACAAATCTTTGAATGACTAATGAACATTTAATTTCACAAACCTCGCAGACTTGGTCGAATCTAGTTGAGATCTTGTGAAGTGTGCATGTGACCTGCATGATCGCGTGTTCTGTGACGGTCGGTCCTATGGTCCGTGTGAATTGAATACGGACAGGAGGAGAGTTCAGCTTCACTGGAGACGCGCGATCGACAAACTTTAAACTCGTGACTGATTTCAAATTATGCTGCGCTTTATGCATTTGCCCACTGTCATATTCATGTCATTTTCACTGTGTGCTGTATGTAAAATGAGTGTTACCTTGGCTTTATTTGAAAAAATATGATTCCCAATGCACACAAACTTCCCAGAATACTAAGTGCCCTGTTGGTTATAGTGTTTACTTCCTTTTTAATTATATTTTTATTAAATATTTAGTTATTTGTGAAAAATACTTTGTCTTCTAGAGTATAAGTGTTTATTTTACACGTTTATTTTTTAATCCATTTTCAAATAATTTCAAATTTCTTAAATATGAATTAAAATAAATAAAATTATATCGGCCACCCTGCTTTCCAAGATAT